TACTCAACTACCGCCGGGTCCGATGCGTTGCCTTCGTGGTCGCTGGGCAATCTGCTTCCATCCCACTTACTGCTGGTGATGGGATTGACCTTGAGGAGGTACATGGTATCAATCTCCTCGAGACTGCGGTCCTTGCTCTCAATCATAAAGAAAAAGACGATGATCACGAGCGCGGCGCAGCAGCCTGCAAACACCAATCCGTAAAGATAATCGATTGCGTCCGTGATGAAGCGGGTGAAGAAACTGAGCATGAAGTTCCAGAACCAGTTGCTGGCCGTGGCGATAGCCATGGCTGGGGCGCGGTGGCGGGCTGGGTAAAGCTCGGCGACGACAGTCCAGACGAGGGGACCCCAGGTGCTGGCGAAGGCGGCAATGAACAGGCACGAGAAGACGATCAAAACATTGCCGGCCTGGGGGGTAGCCGACGGGTTCACCTTGTCCAGGCGGAAGTGGCCAACGAAGGAGTAGACGAGGAAGCACATCATCATCCAGGCGGCGCCGATCATGAGAGCCTTTCGGCGACCGCACTTTTGCACAACATACAGACCGCCGAACGTGCACAGGACGTTGACAGACCCAAGGATGATCTGCGTAACGTAGCTGTCGCTCAGTCCCGTGGCGCGGAAGATGGTGGTGCCGTAGTAGAAGAAAAAATTGGCACCGGTCAACTGCTGACCGGCCTGGAGGGTGATACCGAGGAATGTGCGGTAGGCCATGCGGGGAGCTGTAAAGATCTCAAACCACCGTGCGTCGGCGCTGGCCCGCTCTTCTTCCAGCTTGACGCGGATCTCGGTGATCTGGTAATTGACCGACCTCGCGTCGGGTGCGAGCCCGGCAAGACGGGCGATGGTGCGGCGTGCCTCGTCCTCGCGGCCCCTGCGGTAAGCGTAGCGAGGGGACTCGGGTAGGAACAAGATGCCCGCACCAAGGATCAGAGCCCACAGGAAGGATAGACCGTTAGGGATACGCCACGACGCCGAGCTGCTGTCGTACTTGGTATGGGTGCCATAGTTGACCATTTCGGCCGTCCAGATTCCCAGGGTGATGAAGAGCTGGTAAGTAGAGACGAGGATGCCCCGGATGATGATGGGCGAGGACTCGGACTGGTACATGGGCACGAGGACGGAGAGCGAGCCAATGCCTCCACCCGTAACGAGCCGGCCGATAGCGAACTGGACCCAAGAGGTTTGGGAAGAGATTTCAATGATGGTGCCGATACAGGTGAACAGGGCGGATACCGAGATGGCCAGTCGTCGGCCCATCGTGTCGGCGATCTTACCGGCGACAAGAGCACCGATGAGAGAGCCCACCGGTAAGAGACCGACGATGGTACCCTGTCGAGCAGCGCTGAATGTGTAGGCTTCCGTGCTGGGGTCGAATTCTCCGAACCGTCTCGCGTAGTCGGTCATGTCAAAGAAGCCCGAGATCTGACCGCTGAACATCGCCATGACGACGTCAGCAAATCTGCCACTGGGGATCGAAGGAAAGAGTAAGGTTGACTTGTACGTACCTCACGTAGCCGAACATGAAGCCACCGATACTAGCAACAACTCCGATGAAGCATGCCAAAGCAGTGATCTTCTGCTCGTCGACTGCTGCAGGCACGAAGACGCCATCTTGGCCTGGAGAACCAGCCTTCTCCAGCTGCTGGGCAGGCTGGCGTTTGAGGAACGGCATTCTGTTTGTTACTCTTGACGATTGACGATGGATGATAAAGTGAACAATAGAGACTGGCTGTGAGATGAGATGTTCCGGGGCAGAATGGATCGCGTCCTGATTTTATGGTGTTCCAAAATTCCAAAACAAATAGAAGCGTCCAGTTTGCTTGGAAAGGAGAAGACGGGCGAAGGTCAGCGACCCGTCGTGCCATCCCCCACTCAAGATCTGTTGGTCACGCACGTTGAGAATACCGCCGTGGCGTGTAAAACTGGCAATCACGACCCGGCCGTACACGAACGTGCCTTCCGTGACTGGACCTCGGCGGGGCAAGTCAATCTTCGACAAGGCAGGGCAGCAACAGGGTCACTTTACCATGGTGGCACCATCCTCCTGCTGCACCGCAAACCTATGTTGTGGAACAAACGGCACGTTGACGCGGTGGAGACGCCGGGGACTGCATGGCATACGGTCCGTCTCTCTATTAGGTGTCTTCGGACGGAGGCTGCAGATAAACAAAACGGTCGTGATTCCCCTGGGCTCGAACCTCCCCAACTCCCCTTTCCTTCCTCACTGATATTCAGCACACTTCCCTAGCAGTGTCCGCTTACACGCGGTGAAAGGAAGCATCGTCAAATATCGTTAACTGCCATCATTCGGCTCCCGGAACGGATGACGTCGTCCTAGCACCTCGAGTCAGCAGATCGCGGGTCTGGTAAACGCACCCATGATAGGGCCGAGATGTGAGGCTCTTTGGTGGGTCGAAGCGGAACCTTTGACCTGAAAACTCTGCATGCGTTCTTTTTGCACGCTTGCTTAAGGCGAGATAACCCGCGTATCTTCTTCTTCCTCTACCATTCCTCGCCTGTTATTCGGCCCCTTGGCTTCTTTTCTTCTAGAAGTCCCACCTGTGGAGCGCCGAGACTCGCAGTTGTAATGCTTGAAAATCCGCCCGCTAACGGTGAGGCTCTGGTGCGCGGGTGGGGCGGCCGGAACTGTCGGAAGGGGGGCGTTTCGCTCGCTGTGCGTCCAGTGTCACTCACAACAGTATTGTATATATTGCCTATCGCGGTTCTTACAAATGCCCTACCATGTGCCGGTCAATTTTCTCTCGATAACACTCGGTTGCCATGCAGTCCCCGACAGGGCTTTTCGTTCGGCCAGTCCCGCCAAGGTATGATGTCAATCCAGATCATCCCACGCTTGGCATGCTTGGCTACCGGCAGCCGTTGGCGTTGGCGTTGGTCTCGGCTTATCTCCGGAGTGTCCACCGTCCCCGTCACACATATGCGCACATATGCATGTCTATACATTAAGATAGTCTCTTGTGCTCCACAGTCCACGTTGCTGTGAGCTGTTCGACAGGGAGATAGGACATTTGTATGGACCGGATAACGGCGCCAAAACAGGTTGTGCGAGGACAACATCAGGAGACCTGCACGACAGCGAGCGGAGCGTTTGAAGAGCCGTGGGATATGCTATTCAACGGCGGTCAATCTCCCTCACAGTCAGCATGAGACATCAACCCCGACAGTCATGATCTTGGGTCCGTGTGTGGCATATTCTGATTACACAACAACGCCATCAGCAAGTCAGGCGCATTGAAACCTCTTCACCTCCATGCTTGAACTGACTGACTTTCCATTTGAACATTTTTCAGGGAAGATCAAAGACCTGCATTGCATTCGTAATCAACGGATAACACCGGAATGGCTCGGCTTGATTAACTTGAGGTATGTACAGAGGAAGAACCTAGCGCTTCCCGTTACTATCGGGCCGGACTAATTACTTCGGCGCAGATCGATCAACGATTTAGCGCCGGGCTCGGGCTTCAGCAGTTTGACCACTCGCCAGCTAACGCATCCAAAATGGAGCACAGGGACGACATGCTCGAGAACACCGACTGAAGGGTTGCAAACGGCTAGAAAACAAGCAGTCGCCAACGCACTCAATGAGACGTTGCTCCGTTTGTTACGATGATCTGGCGTTATGGGAAGGGGAAACGGAAGATCCCGAGCTCGAAACTTCGCAATGCATCTTCTGAAAGCAGTCACGACAGTTTGCTTGCACAGATGGGGAGGTGCGTATTTTCCCAGGTGGGAAAGTGCTGCTGTGGAGCAGGTGTTGTAAGGCAAGTATGCTGGAGGACCTCGTAAACTCCACGCAATACGTTGCCGTGGGGGTCCTTTTCGGCTTTACTTTCGCTCATTCCACCGAACAGGTGGATTAAAGAAACAACCCGTTCGCAACGCTCAATCTCAGCTGCCCAGGATATGGCTTGCTTGAGTAGCGATCACAGACGATATCGCTACCGAGACCGTTCCCTTCCGCGATCAATCTGCCAGACGGGAGCGGGAATCAGCTTTATCATCTTCCCGAGAAGCAGCTCGCCTCCGTCGCCCACATGGTGACCTGTCGGTCCCCGAAACCACAGATCGTAGTGAACCAGCTCGCGCTTGCCCTCACCAAATTAATTCAGCCCGACTCGACAAAAAGCGACCAGCCCAACCATTCGGTGAGGCAGGCGAGCGGGAAAGAACGTGGCGCGGCTGACACGTTCCTGCTCTTCCCAGGCACCCGAGGTGACAGTCTCGTTTTGAGTTTGCGCGACTTGTCCACAGGCGCTGTGCCATGTTTGAGTACCGACCGACGTTATCTCGCTCGCTGTTCCGTTAATTAATAGCACGTCAGTTACCCCAAGCTTTCATGCCCGACCACTTGGTCGGGGTCGGTGCCATTACTGCCACACAAAGCTGCAGAGCAATTCCATATGTAGGCCGCCTACGATGATGATTACACTGCGCCGGTAGGGGCCACACTGAAACGGGAAAGGAAAGCAAACAACTTGCATTCATGCTGTGGACACTAGTCCACCGTGTGCTGCTGAGGGTATTTGCAGACCCCACAAAGAAAGAAAGAAAGAGAAAGGAGAAAAAAGATCATAGAGAAAAAGCGGAGAAAAAGAGAGAACAAAAAAGAGCAAAGAGAAAGAAAGAAAGAAAGAGCTCCTGGAGATGCCCGGGGGTTTAAATGGTCTTAAATGGTCGAGGTTTCGCGGCTGGGTGATTCTGAATTGCAATTGCGAAAAGCGCGCGCCGTGTCGCGAGCGTTTTCGCGAACGACGCGTCACACTTTAATGGGATCCTCACAGGATGCCGAATTTCGATTGGTCAAAAAAGTCATGGAGGGGGGCACACAGCAGGCCCCACAATCCAAGCCATCGGGATCCATCCCGCGCACCGTTTCGGAAGGGGGGCAAAAAACTTTCACTTTCCACCAAGTAACTAAGTGATAGAGGGTCCATGAGGCAACGTAACACCACTACATTTCAACAAATCGCAGACGCCCGGCTAGCTCAATCGGTAGAGCGTGAGACTCTTACGGCAAGCGTCTACGAACATCTCAAGGTTGTGGGTTCGACCCCCACGTCGGGCTCAATTCCCGGCGATTCGATCGCAAGCGTCTGTTTTTTTTCTCATACCCAAGCCCATGTATGAGCCAGGAGTTGGGTTTATACTACTCTTTTCTTTTGCTCCTCTCTTTTTTTTTTTTGATCTGTAATGTAAGTCATTCCCGTCACCTCCTCTAAAGACGGCAGTTCTCTCGGACACGACCTGTCACGCCGGTCTGCTCTTGAGAGAGATTACATAGAATTGTCGAATGGGTGGTGGTGTTCTAGTATTAGGCTACGGAACAGGTCCAGCCCGCCTTCCCCGTCCGCCATGCATCAAAACTTACTTAAACCGGTGTCACCTACCTATAGGTGTAAGATGGCTACATATCTAAGCAGATTGTTCATCTGGCTTTAGATATATTATAGAGCGTGCTTTTAGGGTGAGCACGATCAACGGTAGAAGCTGGAAGTGGCCAACTGGCGCCCAACGGGTCTTGCCTATTTGACCCATGGGTAAGACGGCCGGGTGGGTGGGTAATTGGTTACTCGTGGGTAATGGATGCTCTTGGACAACGGGTATTACCCAACGTCTAATCCATTACCCACGAGTCTCTCTATCTTGGTCTGTCTGATGTAAATAGTCCGTGTAATAACTGCACTCCCTCTTGTTTTCTCTCCTCTCTCCGCACGTGGCACACTTCCCTCTGATCCTTTTCGTGATGATCCATAGGTGGTGCTCCGCACTGGATCGTGTCCTCACCACTTCCTATTCCGTGTGTCGTGGATTTCAAGCTTCCGTTGCTGCTGCTGCCGCTACTGCTGCTGGAGAACACCCCGTCTGCATGATGGTCGCGATCCCCCAGCCGGTAGTGCACTGCTGACAGTTCGACTTGGTCGGGCAGATCGTCGTCGTTGTGGGACGCACGGCTACGGAGGTGCATCCGCATGATAAAGTCACGGCATCTTTCATGTCATTATTAACCATCAATTGTGTGTAGGGGCGTGTAAGGGGGTCCGGGGGCTTACAGTCCATGATACACCACGCCGTATCGGTACATGCAATATCACAACCGCTGGTCGAGTAGAATGTCTGTGTTGGGCGCGTGGTGCAGGACTCTGGCATCGGTGGTGGAGTTACATACGACCATGTAGATGAGGACGTCGTGGTGGATGATGATGTTGGCGAGGGGCGAGTGGTTGGTGTAGTGTTGTGCTTGGCGGGGTGGAATGGGGAGGCCATCACAGAGGATCTGTGTTCCAGGCGTCAGTTTAGCAATACTAGTAAATGGGGGTAATAGGGGACGGGGGTGACTGACCCCAAGCCAAAGACGGCTGTTGCTATCGTGATAAAGTGCATGTTGCTATGGACGACAGATGAGTTCACAACAGCAGTGTCTAATTTCTGCGGTTGACTATGACAGGGAACCGCCTTTTCCCAGGAGACGCACATACACATGAAGCCGAGAGGTGGTCATGGTCTTTTATGTTCTTGCCTGCACTCTTCCCCATGGGGTATTCATGACGTCCGTCTTGGCAGTCACATAGCTGTGCAGACACGAGGTGGTATTTTGTTGCTGTCAGGTGTGTGATAGGTCCGTATCCCAAAAGGGTAAACATGGTATAGTGTTTCCGAGGTATCCAGATTCGGTGGTCAATTACCCGGTCACTTAGGCAGATCCTACATAGAGACATGAGTAGGTAAAAATAGGTTTGTTTGTTTCGTTCACTGGTGAGACATGCGAGAAATAAAACACCGTCGGGGAATTTGTGAATGGCGATGACATGGTGTTGATGATGTCGTTGTAAGATGGAGAGGTCTGTGGTTAAATGGCATGAGGACAGATGTCAAACTTGACAGACACCGAATGCTCACTGACCAACATTTTTGTAGCATGAAAATTACTAGCTTTGCGGGTAATTGTAGGTTGTCTCAGCCATTGTCCCCGTAGAGTCGCGTTGCAGTTGTTGTCTAGAGTTTCCATGTCTGCACATTGCAACTATCGGTGTCATGCCCATGCCCCCCATCCATGGATACAGTAAGCGGAAATTAGTCTAGGAGATGGATGGTAATACTCAGGAAACAATGAACTAATTTTTTATATACACTTGGGTAATGGTCATGCATGCCCATGAAAGTCAAGATGGGGTTTGACTTGTAATATCTGGACATATGTATGTTGACATGGTTAGTTACAGTGAGAAACTGTATACAACAGGAATTTGAGTGGGGGAGTAATCCTCAAATATCGAGATGATGACCCCTGAAATAATTTTAGTAGTTTACAGAGTATGTACGAGCTTGGTATTCGAAGTGCCATTGTGGGTAGGCAAGTATCAGTGAGTATGGATAACTACGCGTTGAGATATTTGTGCGTGAGGCATAACATTTTTAGTCGCGATAGTATTCATGCCTCTAAATAGCAACAGTAGTAACTTACTCGCATATAACAAATACAACTTATGTTGGGTGTTTATGGTATCAGCAATTGGCATGGAGTTTTTTGTTGTTGGTAATTCCGATGAAATACTAATATCGAGACAACTCTGCCACCACCGACACAAACATCGGCAAGAGACATGGTATGCATAAATACAACCTAAAATATAAAGAAGACACCTAGATTTAAATTTTTGTACCGTTTGGAAAGTCATGGGCAGTTTCGTGGCTGCCTGGAATATTATATGCCTGGGTATGTGTGATTTATAAGTTGAGTTCACAACATATCCACGAGTTCAGACACATAAAGCTTCCACAATGACGTTTCCGTGCAAAAAGGATATGATGCCTAAAATGTCGAATACCACACCCTCTGATCATATATCGCAAGACGTTGGTTGTCACCCCCATCAAGACATAAGGACTATCAAAAACCCGTCACTCACCAAAATCACATGTTAGACACCTAGAAGACGGCCATGGAAACACATTCTCAAACTAAAAAAACACTTCAAGGCTACCAGGAAGAAGCGTCATCATGATATAGATCAAGTAGTCATTATAGTAACCATATCATGTGTAGCCTCACCAAACTACACTGTCGTCTCTGGAAGGAAGCACAGACCACATGACCGGAAACGGACACTCTTCCGCCAGCATGCAAAACGAACCAATCACCAACAACCTTTTCACGATATTATTGTCATGGACTTATCCGAGCCCTCTGGGGAGTAACGAAAATCTGGACTGAACCATGACGGGGTCGGGAGACGAGCGAGGTCGTATACATGAGAGTGAGACAGAACCTCCACCAGCAGACAACTCACCGTGCGTTGCCCCCACTTCCCCCCACTTCGACTGGCATATTGGGACTTACACCAACTAAAGTTATCTGTTTGCGCATGCAATGAACAGTTGGTTGTTGCCTAGACCGACTGAATGAGTCACAGGAACATGAAGGATTTTACGCTTCAAGCACATGGCACTACGACACATGATACCGGCAGAGTTCGGTGTGGCGGGACAGAGTCTGCGACGGTGAACGAGCGTAACACTCTGGGCATGACTCCACCCGCCCAACAGCGCGTCACTGCGAACATCAACAAGCACGCGTCGCAGAATCTGCACATCACAGGCAATGGAACAACGAAGTAGTTTTGAATGCACCTCCAATTAATGGAGAAAATCGATTATGTTATCAACCATGTGAACACCCTTGATTTGCCCCCAGTATGGTACAATGAACCCTTGAAAAACAGAAAACCAGATATAATCCCGTGAGCCATCTTTCGTGACTTAAGTTAGACCGACCAAAACCGCTCCCGCCCCACAAGAAAAACGCGCGAAAACTGTGATTCATAAAAGACGTGATATCATGACAATGCTTAACCACCGAAACCGTAAAGGGTGCGGCCCTGTCTCTTGAGGGCGTAGACGACGTCTAGTGATGTGACGGTCTTGCGCTTGGCGTGCTCAGTGTAGGTGACGGCGTCACGGATGACACCCTCGAGGAAGGACTTGAGAACACCACGGGTCTCCTCGTAGATCACTGCGACCGCGTTAGATGCCTGCTGTAAAGTGTATTACTGGTGATGAAGACGCGTGGCAACTTACTGGCAGAAATACGCTTGACACCACCACGACGCGCCAGACGGCGGATAGCGGGCTTGGTGATACCCTGAATGTTGTCACGAAGAATCTTTCTGTGGCGCTTGGCACCGCCCTTTCCGAGACCCTTTCCGCCCTTGCCGCCTGAGAAGATGCATGTTAGTATGATGATGCGATGACGATAATGTTGATGATGCAGTGCAACTTACGTCCAGTCATGATGAATGAGGGTTAGGTAAATGAGGTGTGTGGTTTGGTGTTGGTGAGGCTGAAGATGAGACAGCTGAATAGTGCGGCGGATGCAGTGCGTGAGGTTGCAAGTTGAAAGAGGGGTGGAACGTGGGGAAGAATGACGGGCTTTAAATATGGGAGAACGCGGTTGCGGCATGCAGGGCAGGCGGGAATCAAATCAGTGATCTGATTTGGAGACTTTTCGCACCCCTGGCTGATTTTGGGAACGCGCGCACACTGATGCTGTTACCGAGCGTGGTCCAGCAAGCGTGCCTTGCAGGCTACCGATGGACGGGGTGACCCACTTGGCGAAGTGGCCTTATTTTTGACTGGGTGGAAAATAAAGCACACGTCGGACAAGGACGGCGCTAGAACCGATTTGATTTCTGAGGTTGGACGGGGGCCCGAGCTTGTGACCCGCCAACCAGATCGAACAGACGGTGAACGGCAGACCGCAGGTTTGGAGGCACGATGTGGATGCAACTGCCAGCGACTGTGAAAGATACGTCTCGACTTGAATGATGCTCAAGTGAATGTCTCTTTGGGTGCTACAACCAGCTAGCTTTCGGTGACTTCTAATGAATGTACTTGGCACATCCTGGTTCCTTGTGGCTCACTGCCTTAGATCCTGCCACTCCATTATGGAGTAGCTGCCCGTAAGTATGTGCAAACGCGAAGAAGAAAAGAGTTCGCTCTTTCAAGTAGCAGCTGTGATGTATCTAGAAAGCAAATAGGTACCTAAAGATACCATATCTTGAGCAGTGA